CAGTCCAATGCCTTAACCACCATGTCACCTGCTGGCCCTATCTCTACTAACCTCACTGGCTTATTCTGAAAATCAAATGAGTTAATCTATATGCAAACTTTGGAATACTACAAGTTTTATACAATATAGTGTAATTCCATCATCGGAGTCAGTCTATCACTGCTCCACATGGGACAGTAAACATTGGGTTGTGGGGAAAGTCGTGACTTTTTTCCTATGCAAAGTGCATCATGACTCTTCTGACAGCCCAGTCTATATCACAAAAGTTTCACGGGGTTATTTAATCTCAGTAGTTTACCCTACTTCATACTGATGCAATCATATACCTATTTTTCTTTACTGCAACTCGAGGTCCAAAGCCATTTTACAAGAATAAAAGGCACCTATGATTAACTGATTTTTTTTTAAAAAAAGAGAGTAAAGTGGCAGTTACAAATAAGTTTGTCCCTTTCCTTCTTAGCACCTCTCTCCCTCCTTTGCCTTTATCCTTCTGGTTTATTCAAACAAGACAGCATAAAAAAATCTTTACATTTTATTTATATCATTTTTGGAGAGGTTTTTGCTATAGGGTGCACACGCTTGCCAGAAAGACAGAGAGAGACAGAGAAATAGAAAGCAAGAAATCACCCCCCGGGGGGATGGCCATGCCGCAATCCCTTCTCCTCCATTCTCCTCTTAGGATCTTGGATACACATGTGCACGTGCCCGGTATGAGTTTAAGCCACCAAGTCTGGGACTTGAACCACAGTCGACTACATGGGAGCTCAGTGACCTAGCCATTCTGCTAACTGCTGGTCCCTAAAACTTTTTATTTGTTATTATTATTATTATTTTATTTGATGAGAGAAAGAGAAAGAAAGTGAGAGAGTAAGCTGCCAGGTCCAGGACTTGAACCATGGTATCCTATGTGGGAGTCCAGCACCTTAACCACCACACCACCTACTGGCCTTCATAAAAATATCTTATTATTGGGGCTGATAGGTGGTGTACTGCTAAAGGGGCCTGGACTACCACATGGCTGACCACAGTTCAAGTCCCAGACCTGGCAGCTTGCTTTCTCACTTTCCCTCTCTCTCTCTCTCACTCTG